CCAGCATCCATCCATCATCCATCATCCATAATCCATCATCCATCCATCCATCCATCCATCCATCCATCCATCCATCCATCCATCCATCCATCCACCCACCTACCCACCCACCTACCTACCCACCTACCTACTTACCTACCTACCTACCTACCTACCTGCTTCCTGCAGTCTTAAAGTCATTAGATGCACACAAAAAGTTCTGAATAAAGTTTTTTTTTTGGTTTTCACAATCCCTCTGATATATGATGAACACTACACTCAGTTTGTATACATCTGCTTGACCTTTATCAGCAGAGCCTCCATCTCAGTGTCAAAAGTGTGTTATTGCTGCAACACGGTTTGTTTTTATGAGTTTTGTGGTCAGTCTAGCTTTAAAAAGGGAACGAGAGTGTTTCTGCAAAACGCACGTAACCTTCCTCCCAGTATAAGCATTGACAGTGTAAACAGGGTGGAACAGCCAGTCAGAAGGGTACGAGAGTCACTCTGCGAAACAGACGGTAACCTTCTTAGTCAGTTCAGACGTTTAAATTCAGAGCTGTCTCTTCCAGTTCTTCCAGAATGCAAGCCTGGAGGTTTATGTTTAAACCAGCTAACTGCGAAAGCTGTGATTTCACACTTTTCACACTGCACTGTTCTTGGAAAAAGATTATTCATCAGCTCTGTCAGATTATAGGAATTTTTCTGCTGTTCATTGGAAGAGAGACATTAGAGGGCTTGGTTGGATGCATACGCTGCAAATTTAAAATATAAAAGCAGAAGATGCGGGTTAAAGGTCCAAGTGTGAATAAAATCTAACGGTGTTGTTATTTTATAGGCTTCTAGGAACGTTTAGAACTTTGATGGATAACGACTTTCGTAAAGGTGTGGTAATTGAAATGTGGTGCATTTGCATTGCAAGTTATGTCATATTTGTTTATACGTAAGATCCATGTTTAAAATTTCATTATTAACTTTGTGTTTCATAATTGTCTTTGACTATAAATTGTGATTTTTAAAGGTTCAACTAAATATCGGCATCGACTCGAAGTTTCTGAGGCTGACAAAACAGGTCAAGTCTGTAAAATATATTCTTGGTACATCACCCAATAAATCTGTTCTTGAATACGGAAGTTACCCAATAACTTTTATTAGGATCTGAGTGAGAAGACAGAATCCAGCTTATTACATTACTGTAGTGAAAAGCGAGAGCTAAAGTGTGCTGAGACAGGTCGCTGCAGGGTCAAAGGTTTGGCGGAGTAATCAAGGTTTAAGGTTAATTTATTGTCATTCGCATCACATGTGGTACATGAGGTGTACCCTGTTTGCATGTGTTAAAAGCCTACTTCTGAGATTCCAACAGGAGGTTGGCTTGAAACACAGCAATGCAGGCTACCTATGGGACAGATGGTTGGTAGGCTGCAGACTGACTAAGTCCTCTGGATGGGGTAGGGGCGAAACGTTTCTCATTTAAAGAAGCTGGTCCTGATGACATGATTTAACCTTTTTTGTAGTGTGAATACTGAATCTAAAGTCACACGATAAACATTTATTTATGTAAATGTGTGCATTTTAAATGAAGTAATCCATGAAAAATTAAGTAGTCTATGCAATATATTATTAAAAATTTCTCGTCTGCACTAGTTGTGTCACACAATTTTTATTTTGTGCAAGTTCAAATTGCCACAGCAGCACTTCACAAAGAAGAACAGCAGGTGTCGGTCAAGTTTAATTTTGAATCGTGTCCATGAGCTCAAACCACAATAAAGACGCGAAACAACATTTTAGTGTTGATTCTGTGAGAAGTTAAATTAACTAAATTTTTATAAAAATGTCCTTACATAGAATATATATTTTTTTTACCTCTAGCTTGGAGTTTTAGCTGCACCATCCAATCCTAAACTATATTATGCAAAATGTGATCAAATGTATGCGTATATTACTGCGTAATTAAAGATCTATTCAAAACCTAAGTAAGAAAAGTTTACGTTATTTTAACATGGGAGCTGCGTGAACGGAAGTGACGTAACCCAGCGTCAGCTTCTTCCGCTCTCTTTTCGTTGAGGCTCAGCTAGCGGCCGGGTGGGTACACGTTCGGTTCAGAGTATATTTTGAGATTTTTCGCAATGTTTAAAAGCTTATTATGAATAAAAACGTTTATCTGCCTCATTTTTGGATAAGGAACCTCTTTGTTGTGTGGTAGTTGTTAAGTTTTCAGGCGTAAAACGAGCGTAGCTGTCTTTACCTTCCACGCTAATCGTTGGCATGTGGCGAGGCCTTTCTACAAGTCCCGCTGAGCTAACGGCTAATTACGTTTTTACTGTCAGCTCAAGACGTTTAGTTATCTTTAACGATTTAGTTACAAAATGTGACCATGTTGCAAGTGTCATAACCTATCGAGCTGTATTTTGTGGTTGTGAAAGTGGTCTTCTGTCAATTAGCGGTGTCACGGGTGCTAGCAGTGATCAGTCACGAAGCTAACTTTAACTTTGTTCCCACAGCCTGCAAAGATGCAGATCTTTGTGAAAACATTAACGGGGAAAACCATCACTCTTGAGGTTGAGCCCAGTGACACTATCGAAAATGTCAAGGCGAAAATCCAAGACAAGGAAGGTGAGTTAACTCATTAAATTGAACTTGGTTCCTCTGTAGAAGCAGTAGAACTTGTAAATCCTGAATGTGTTTTGGTTGTGAACCTGCACTATAGTCATCCATTATGTTTTATATTCCATGTACTTTTCTTGCAGAAATTGACAGTTTGAAAGCAAGTTAACAAAATATTGTAAAATTGTTTGGACTAATGTGTAAATTGTCAATTGCTCATCAATATATGTTGATCCTGTGGAAACATAATGATTGGTGGTGCTGTTTACAGGAATCCCTCCTGACCAGCAGCGTCTGATCTTCGCTGGAAAACAGCTTGAAGATGGGCGCACGCTGTCAGACTACAACATCCAGAAAGGTGAGACGTGTGACACAAGACGCACGAAATGGTTCAAATCTTAAACTTTTTGACTAGAACATAGTACATGACGCGTTTGGCAAAACCTAGTTTAATAGAGTTAAAAATGATTTTCAAAATGTGTATGTGGATGCTTACCAAACTCGAGGCTGATGTCACATCTTTCTTGTCCAAAAGAATCAACCCTTCATCTGGTTCTTCGTCTGCGCGGTGGCATCATTGAGCCCTCACTCAGACAGCTGGCTCAGAAATACAACTGTGACAAGATGATCTGCCGCAAGTAAGTTCATATGATTGCGTCTGTTTGCCTTTGTCAAGTTGCATCTAAATTTAGACCACACCATTAATTCAAAACATATTATTTCATAATAAAGTGCTTAGGACAAAGTAGTTACTTTAAATATCCAGCAAGTACCTCAAGATTTATTTATTTTTTTTGGATTGAGCTGCAATTGGAGTTGTCAGTGTTTACGTTTCAAGGCTGTAATAGAATGGACACTATGGGAAAGTGTAGATTTTATATATTTAAACTTATAGTTTTAGTGAAAATGATTCTCTACTTCTTTGTGGTTATGTTTGAGACTTTATTTGCTATCTTGTATTGAAACAGTTAAGCTTCTTAGTTTCTGAAGTACTCCAATATGAATTTTAATTACCATCAAAGCAAACTTTGACAGACAAACCTGCTTTTGCATTTCCCAGATGCTATGCACGTCTGCACCCTCGTGCTGTCAACTGCCGCAAGAAGAAATGTGGACACACCAACAATCTTCGCCCCAAGAAGAAGCTGAAGTAAACATCATGGTTACATTGGCGCTGTATGCCATTTTGTGTTAAAATAAATGTAAGAAAGTTATGCTGCCTGTCTGGTTTCTGTTGTTCAGTTTCAGGAACAAACGTTAGCTTGATTGGTTATTTGCTAAAGATTAAAACTCAGCTGATTTAAAATGTTCTTAATCCAGATTAAAGATGGCCCGTTCACTAGATACGGTTAAATCAAAGCAGTGTCTGGCACCCTAGTTCAAATGTAACTGACTTGATCCCAAGTTTAATGGCTGAATTCAAACGAGTCTTGTAGCTCAAATAATGCAAAAAGTAAATTTCTTAAAAATTTTGCTCATAATGTCAAAGCAAGGACAGTTTCATTTATGCAGAATAATTAGGTTTTTTTTTTTTTTTTGTCATCACAAACACACCTTTGTGTGGCAGAGTTTAATGTTGACAGTTTAAATACAAATATAAGGAAATGTCTCGCATTGTCAAATCTCATAAAATGATCCACCCACAGATTTAGTCATTTGTGTTCAATATTAGTTTTATTAAAGAAACTAAATTCAGCCATTCTGAGGTATTTAAAGTCGTACTTGAAGATGGTCTGCACAAAAACTGAAACATTGAGATGATTATCGGCCGCCTTCAGGCAAAGCTTGAGAACGGTACATCTTTAGTAATAAATGCTGCAGTGGATGGTACCAGATGTTTTAGTAAGTCAATTTTCCAATCAAGGGGGCACTCCACCCATCAGTGCTGAATAATGAGAGCAACACCCTTTGACTACTTGAAATTGCTTCTCAAATTTTTTTATTCTCCACAAAAAAAAAAAGACCTAAACTTGATCGATATCTGCAACACGTTTTTGTGTTGCATGTTTAGTTTTATTAAACCTGCTCATCCCAAATAATCTAGTGACTTAAACCAGTAGACGTCCCTGTCCCCTACACTAATGTATATGGGGACTTGTACAGTATTTAAAACAGGAGTAAGGCTGGCGTGAAGTGTCTTGACATTAAACATGCTGTGCTTGTGCAGATTTTTTTTTTAAACTATAAAAATGTAATAAAGACGTAGGGAAACAAGGTCTGACCTACAAATTAACAGATCAATGCTTGAAATATTTCAGATTTTTTGCATGCAGCGACTGATCACCAAGACGAGTTGCTCGTTGGTGATGAAATATAATTTTTGTGATCAAAACAAGACCGCATTCTTCCTCTGCAGTTACGTCTCAAAACGAGCTAACGACATGTACGAGAGTAAAAGAAAGTTGATGTGATGAGCGCTACATGACATGAACCGATTTTGAATCCTGACGTGATGGTTCTGCCTGTCATTGCTTCATCAGCTACAAACCGCTTTATTTGTACTTGTCAAGAAGTCAGCTCAGGAGCTGAGAAGCAAGAATCAATAGATATTGTTCATTGTGGCATTCACATCAAAGGCTGACGGACAAGTCAGCTGCGTACCAGTTTACTCTTTCTGTAGAGCTCATGCAGTGATATCGTGATCCAAGCCTTGCACTTAAGAATATCCTGGACATTTATAGTGTAGATTACCAGAATATGCACATTAGTATTTTTCGTTGACAAATGCAAACAAAATTAAACTTAGCACAAATTTGATCAAGTGTAATAAAAAGTTGAACTGAACAACATCAAGGTGAGGAAAGCAGCTTCTCTGACCCGTCAGGACTCCTTCCAGTGTCCAGCAGAAGTGAGTGGAATACAAATGGAGTTGCTCAAGTTTAGGATTTTGTGGTATTTTCCTCTTTTTGTTCGTTTGGCTGCTATGCCGATTTCCCACCCTGACAGGAACTCCTCAGCGAACATGAATAATAGAAGTGCTGAGAAGGAGCAGTTCTTAGAAAATAGTGTTCTGCTGGCAATTCTCAGAAGATGGAGCTGGAGACGGTTGTTGCATCGCTGAGTTTGCTGACGCTGGGGCTGGTGGTCGCAGGGCCTGCTGACGAACAGGAGCTCAGTTTACGCAGGGTCTTTGCCGTCGTATGTCCGAACCCTGACAAAACTCCTATGGGTGCATCTCCACAGTGACTCAGAAAGGTTATGATAAAACAGATACTTGTTCAAATATTCCTATAGATGTCTAACACAAAAACCTAAATCTAAAATTTTTTTTTTTTTTACGAAAAATCTAAACTACACAGAAGCAACATTTTGAGTTACTTTGCTCTTCACAGATGTCACTTATCGTTACAGCACAGTCATTTCTACTGTCCGTGTCCAGACATGCCCGACAAGCTGAGATTTAGACACGTAGCTCTGCTGGAAAACAACACTTCTTCTGGTCTTGAGCATTCACTCTGTCAGCTGAAAAACATGAAACTCCAGCAGGAAATCTTTAAATTTGCAAAACCGGCAAGTCTGTTTTATAAACTGGGCTTAAAATTAGGGTTGTGTAGAGTATGCATGAGCAGTCAGTGCTTTACTTGCAGTAGACAACGGTTAAAGTGATCTTAGTCGAGAGAATTTTCTATTATCTCTTAGAAAAGTCAACTTTATGTTGTTTTGGGGGGGAAAAAACAGCAAAACAATATGAATTTAGCAACTTCTGTGCACATGAAAGTTGTTCAGCTAAGAAAATAGTTAACGGTCTTGTGCAAAAGTGACAAGGTGTAGATGCATCAAAGATATTGTTTGGTTGAAGCACTAAAAAGTGTTGTTTTAGATGGACAAAAGTCGGTCATGAATGGACAGATTTTGACTTGTGAGAATTTATTCCCAAAGCCGAAAATACGCCAAAAGCACCGCGGCACATTGTGTCATTGGAAAACTGTCAATTAATGCCACAATATATAAGACTTGTCAAACTGAAGTGTGCTCTAATAACAGATTAACGTTAAAATACAAGCGTTTATTGCTGGATGCCGCAGCATAGAGCGTCGTAATTACGAATCATTTGCTTATCAAATGATTGTTGTCTACTGCAGGTAAGATACTGACAACACAGTTTAAAAGAAAAACACTTCCTTTAATGTGGAATCGGTCTTATAGCTCATAGTGGTTCCTTGTCAAACAGCGGAGACGGCACAAATATAGGGCTGGAGAGAAACCACAAAAAGAAAGATAAAACCTCTTCCCTCAATCATCACGGGAAATACGAGTTCATAGAGCAGAAATGAAAGGAAAGTGTGCTGAAAGAAATAAAGAGAAAAGGAAATACTGGGTTCTACAGAGACACAGATGCAGGAACAAATTTGTGACTAAAACACCTTTTTAACCTGATCTCAGGCTGCAGACGGAGCAGGAAGAGTACCAAAAAACAAAAAAAGTGGGAATGAACCCTCACATGTCAGGTTGTTTCAATTTCAGCAAAGTTTTTAACTTCTGGAACCTTTTTGAATCAAACATCAAATATGGAAAAATATTTTTAAAAATTGGTACAAGCAATCACCTATAAAGTTTGTTTTTGTACATATATGAGACCTTATGTCAAATAATATATTTAGTCGCTACAGCACTAAACAGTCAAAGGTGCTGTACTTTTATAGCAGGCAAGTCGTTTGATTTCAGAATGGTGAGTCAGTGTGGCAGACCATCAAACAGTTTGCATGAATTGTTTTCCACATAGCATCTTCAGGAGGAGGGTAACAACTGCTGTTTGTCCTCACTGATCCTAAAAGAAACTAACGAAGGTGAAACTTTGGTGTTATTTCCACCGTATTGCTTTCATCTTGGCTCTGCTGCTGCACCGGTTAAAGACAAATCAAGCTCACGTGGAGGACACGGACGCCGACTGCGGAGATGCACCCCGGCTACTTATCGACCAGTTTCGCTAAGCTTTCTCTCAGGCCTTTCAGGTCACAGATTTTAACGTCTAAAACCTCGATGATCTGCCGTACTTCAACTTCTGCCTGCTCCTGCTGCTCTTGGTTGGCGGCCAGTGTGTTTTCGGCGCTCTGAACTCGATTCTCCAGCTCCGCGTTTCGTTTCTCCACATCCTGCAGACGCATACGCACAGAAGGATATCAAGATTTGATCACTGAATAAATTCAGAGTTTTCCTCAACATAATATAGTTTGTAGCAGAAGAAAAATATGCATATAAGAAGCAGCTTAATTTTACAGGAAATACTATAAATTCTTTATTCCTTGTAGTTTTCTGCTTCTTAAGGTGACTTTGTATGCCAGATACACCACAGAATAGATTAGAGGATAAATACAAGGTCTACAGAGGCTAAAATCCATAATTCATAACTGACAGGAATGGTAAAAGTGATAGATGACCTAATAAAGACTATGCATCAGATACACTCCTGTGTTAATAAGGAAATTTAATATAATTCTTTTTGCCCTTGAAGCTGCCAGTTCACTTGTTCCTGACTTTATATTTTATAAACGGATTGAATATTCATGAATATAAGGGTCGAAGACAACAAAAAGTGATAAACTCAGAGCTCAAAGTTCTGCAGAAGTAAAGGAAGCAGCAGCCAGCCAATCAGAATGCAGGACTGATTTCTGGCAACAGCTCCAATCAATTAATGTTCAATTTGGTGGATTTTCTTAACTTTCCACCACAAAAAAACAGATCGTCATAATGAAACACAAAACATTTGGATGGCCCTACAACATCCCTGCTTGCACATGAACAATCAAAGATAAACAATAGCGTGATGAAGTGATTGTTTTTACAGTTATTATAAGTGACGTCATAGCTGGAGCTGAACTCAGAAGTAGAAGTTACAAAGGACAAGCGCCCCCTGGTGGCTGGTTTTAGGTCCAGCACCTCCATGTGCAGTTTAAAAAAAAAAAATTAATTAGCCTTTATTTAAAAAATAAATGTTTGTTTTAATAAAATAAAAGTAAAAAAAAAAAAAACCCAACCTTCAGATATTTTTTCAGGTGTTGATTTTGCTGATTAGTTCTGATCTTGCTGCTTTATTCAATCCAATTCAAAAATACTGTCCCAAAGGGAAATTATTTGTTGTAACTCGTTAGCCTCATTTCATGAAGAGATATTATAGATGCTGATGGCTGTAGGCAGCTCAAATATCTTTATGCTCAAATAAGCATTTTAACCACATCTCTGTCTGCACCTGACCTGTTTTTGTTCAGGTATCCTTATATTCTTTGTTATTTTTAAAATGTCTGTTATTTTTTGTATCTTGTGTGATTCCTTGTGTATGCTCCTTTGTATCGAAACTCTGGCACAACAATTTCCTGCAGGATCAATAAAGTTCTATATTGTCTTATCATATTTTATTTAGTTGTGATTACCGCTATTTGCTTACTGCTCTACAAAGTGTTATTTTTACACTCTGATTGACGATATGATAGTCTGTTAGCGAGTTGTGAGGGTGTGTCAGAGGGACGTTTGTATCGAGACTGCAGCCCTGAATCATGAGTGCACAGTCTGGCAAAAATACAACATTGCAGCACCCAACAACATGGACATCTTGGCTTTAGGTTTGGACAACGGAAGTTAAAGGACCCATCTTTACGCATGTCATTGGTTTTTATGCTCTATCTTTATGTTACGTGTATTACACAGAAACACAACTGCCCATCTCCTGCACCAATAAGTTTATTTTCTGAAATCTCAAAGCATTTAAGACTCAAATCTAAAAACGTTTTCTCGTTAAATTATGTCTTTAAAGCCTGGATGAGACTTCTGCTCCCAGTAATCGTTTCTGATTAATCATCTTTTCAATTAACTATTTGTTCAATTTCTAAAGAATTAGAGAGCATTATTCCTTTCATCAATAGCAATCTTCTAAACCACAAGGATACGACTTTCCTTCAGTCTAAAAACAGTTTTTCATTTGACTCAAGTAAAGCAGAAAATTACACGTTCAGTTATCAAATTTGAATGAAAATCAAATAAATAACAACTTAAAAATAACAAACCGTCGTAGTAAAAATGCACTAAATAGGTTTTTCTTTAAATATAATCCCGAGAGGAAAATTAAAGTGTGGTTTTTACAGACTAAACGGAACAACAGCTTACCTGGAGTCTCTGTATGGCCTCTTCTTTCTCCTTCTCCAACTCCCCCATGTCTGTTTTCTTGCTCTGTAGACCCTGAATTTCCTGAAACACATTGATTTCAAATAGTTACAGCGCTGCCTCCCTTGATTCTTCCACGGCCCATTATTGAGGCGATTTAGCCCTTATTTTGCACAGAAACATGTCGGTTTGTGCCCAGATGTGGTTCAGAAAGGAACTGAAGTATTTGGAAAATTGTTCCAGATATCAGGATCTTGTCTGTAAAAGTGAACCTTATTCAAATAAAGAAACAGATGTTGCATAAATGAGACTGAAAGAAAACAGAAAGCTGCTGCTTTTAAGGTATATTTTCCTCTGGGGGATATTTCCAACGTTGTTTTAATTTTAATTCCTTATTTTACGGAACACAAGGAGCTCTAGACAACTTCTCATCTTGCAGAAATAAATAAAACTGCAGCATGTTGATGTGTTGCATACAAGGGATTTATATTATTTCTTCCTGATTAAAGCAACAACAAAAACAGCAGCTAAACAACAGCGCTCTTAAAAAAAAAAAAGGCAAGAAAATTAATTTGTTCCTTTCGGTTGTTGTGTCCGCTTTAATTCTGCACAGCGATTACTTCTTGGAGGAGACAAAAACAAGATTACTGAACCAAAACGATTTCATCTAAAACATCAAGGTGGTTCAGAAAGATGTAATTCAAACGGACACTTTGCGCCTGAACAGTAACAAATCACAGGTTTACGGGAAGTTTTTTTTAATTCATACGTTGTTGCTTTACTGCAGCTGAATATCAAAGAGCGATTAGGGATTTCACTGTATATTCATCTGACTGCTGTGCATGTCATGTGCATGCTGTCGGGCTGGCTTTCTACTCGTAGACTCCCTCTAATAAGAAGAATAAGAAGTAAATTGATTTGGACAGCACTCTGTGCAGGGAGGGTTTATTGTCTTGCCTGGTCTTTGGCTCTCAGCAGGGCTTCCAGCTGCTCCAGTGACTCACTCAGCTCCTCGGTACCAGTCTGACCAGCAGCAGGATGTCCCAGCTGGGTCTCCAGCTCTGCCACCTGCAACACAAACGCACAACAAATACAGACTTAACAATGAAGGTCTTGCCAGAGCTTTAGACTATGTCATGCTCAGAGTAGGTAGTGACTATCAACTACTACCACATGAACTTTTATTCAGAAGATGCTGCACGGCTTTTTACAGAGCCTGCTAATTCAAAAACATGAGAAACTAAAATCTGTCTGGCATGTAAAGAGCAAACTAATGACTTTCAATGAAGTAAACCATGCAGGAGTGTCTGTTTGAGCCCTTATATGTAATCAACAAATAGGGGCTTATAAGGCTTTTATAAACTTTGTGTGATAAATTACCTCAATGTACAAATGCAAAAGTAGCATTAAGTTTTATTTTTCTACATTCAGGCGAGCGGAGAAATGCATAGAAGAGCTGAAACCACTATTCATGAAAATAAAAGTAAACGAAAATATGTTAATCCACCTACATTTAACCATTGGTTTACACAGAACGAGACCTATTGATGTGGATTCCACAGAATATAAAACTGCTTTTAGTTCAGACTCCGAGTATTGTTTAGCAGCATCCATCAACTGTGCAATCAACTAATGAATCAATGACTATTTTATTTTTTTGTTCTCTCAGCTGGACTCTCTTCACTGTGGTCTCCACCACACACACACACACACACACACACACACACACACACACACACACACATCTACACACACCAACGATAATGACTCTCATCAGAAAAACAGCCTTACAGCCAGAGAGAGCTCAGAGTCGACGCCTCTAAAGGAAAAGCCGAAGGATGTGAGTGGCAGTTTGACAAAACAAGGACGGAACGCCGAGCAGCTGAGGTTTGAACACGATGCGATGTGAAGCTCGTCATCGTTTAGAGCCCTGCACCACCACCGTGACATTAAAGGTTCAACTCCCACTGCGCTCTGGTCAGCTCCAGTCTGAGTTGGTTTTATATTTTGTTTTGCACCCGGTGATGGTAATCCGCTTAAGATGTCTAATTAATGAGATCCCCAGTGTTTAGAAAGTTTTGAAGCTGCAGCTTTTTACAAGAAGCCACTTTAAAATTCAAGCATTTCTCAACGCAGCACATTCTGTTAAGTGAACCTGACGCTGACTCAGAAGGCTGTTGAGATGCATCAAAGTTTCTTTTTTTTATTTGCTCGGACAAACAATGCAGTAAGTGGATGAAAAGATGTCAAACGTGTTCACAGTAGTGTGAAGAGCCAGACTGTTCACTCAGACCGAACAAAGAAACTCCTAGTTGGGAGAGGATTATAAACACTGTCCCAAAATGAAACCTACACCTAACCGAATGCACATCGCCCGCTGCCTTTCATGCCAAAGTCTCAAACTGAAATCAGCTTATGGTGAGAAGAGGCAGAATTCAAGTTGTTTAGGTCAAACCTCTTAAAAGACACAATTTGCTGATGTTGATTAGCTGCGGCGGCCATCTTACAAGGGATTGATTCTAAAAGTTAACGAGTCGTAGATGCACATCCAGTAATTACATTCTGAGAGTTTTATTAAAATCTATCCAGACGTTGAAGATGCGTACATAAATACAATTATGATAACAGGATTTTTACTTTTTGGACTCGGCGGGTACCTGGCATATCGACAAATTTGGAAGACATTAGCAGCGGTTCAGGCAACTGTGAGGCTGCTCGTCTTGTGTGAAGGAACGTACCGTGTTTCCTGCGCTCACACTCAGATGCTTTGTGAGCTAAGCCGTAAGCTGGACGCGATTTCTGAGAATCGCAGGCCACTTGCGGCTCCTGGAACTCGCTGGCGTGAAGGAATCGACCTTGGAGAAGGCTATGAGCACTGCACAGAGGAGTGACCACAAAATCTGGCTGTTCTGGATCGCCACTGAGAGGTACCAGCAGAGTAAATAAATCAGAGTCGGTCTGTCCCAAAACAACCAGTGTTATCTGAATATGGCTTCTCCACTTGGCCTTGAATAGGCCAACTTTTCTCAAATTTCTCCTGGAGAACTAGAAGCTCTGCTCCCCCCCCCCCCCCCCCCACCTTTCTGCACCCTTCCCGAGGGCTTCTGTGGAAATGTATCAGAGCAGGACGATAGACACTGTACCATCTCTTATCAGGACTGTAACTTTCTGGCAGTGTTCACAGACAACTCACCCCCTTTCCGAGGACACCTGTGGACCTGTATCAGAGCTGAGCCGGCTGATAGACACTGTACCATCTCTTATCAGGACTATGGAACTTTCTGACAGTGTTTACGGACAACTCACCATCTTTGTCTGCGTCCTCTCATGAATGTATCATGACATCATTATGTGCGGTTTATGTGCAAAGACTTTTTTTTTTCAATTCTCACATTGTGCCCCGGCCAGGACATAGTGCGAGATATATGATTTTTTTTTTTAACCCCACTCCCCCTTGTGTTTTCTCTTTTCCATACTTTTGTCTGTCTAAAACAGGTCTCACTGGTAAATGAGTCTCCGAGGCTCAATGTGATTAATATGTATGAATAAAGGTTGAATGAATATCCATTGGTTTAGGAGATATGTTGCTAATGCTAGAAACAGACAAACACACACACGGGCAAATATATGATCACGTTCACCTTTCATCTTGGATGATAATTAATACATCAATACATAAAAAAATTATATATAGAATAATATTTTCAAATATTTCTTTAAGTAAAAATGTCTGACCTTGACCAGGCATAGACTTTTAAAAGCATGTGAGATAAGAAAAAGCACCAAAAAATGAAGTGGAATTTAATCCCCCACCTCTCACTTTTGATTTACCACAATGTGGACGCAGCAGAACTCATTACAGCCTGAATTGTTGCCAGATTCTCCCATTCCAGGTCACCTTTACTGTCAGAAAATTAAATTGTATAGAGAGGACTTCCTGCTCGTGTGGCCAGCATTTCGTTTAGTCTGTCTTCAAAGTCACGATCTGCATTTTTACAGGCCGTTTGAGGGCGCAGGCGATAGATTCCACTCACAGCATCGATGCCGAGGTTCAAAAAGCCGGGGCAGGTCGAAAGAGGAGGCTGTCCACTCAGTCCCAGAGGCCTCAGCCCCTTTTATTGTCAGCCCTCTGTGTGTGTGTGAGTCCTCAGTTACCGGTTCTGTCTCTTAACGCGATACAAATATTCATGAAGAAAATAAACCCAGAAAAACTGTTTAATATTAACAAACAGGAAAATGAAACTCAAGTACTGTTATTAGACACCCACAGTGCAATAAAGCAGCAAAGATCCCCAAACCTGTTCACATTTTGCAACTCATTATTATTACACATTTATTTTGCTGCTGTAAAACAACTAAAAACTAATTTTTACTTCTATCTAATAATATAAGGTTGGACTTGTGAACACTTGTGTTATACCTGATTTTTATTATGGTATTTCATTATTAACCTTCTTGTTCTTTCCGAATGGTACAATATGTATTTTTGTTTGTTTGTTTGTTCTTATTGCGTTCATTTAATATGACAAAATTGTAAAGCACTTTGGACAGTTTTTGTTGTTTTTATGTGCTACATAAATAAATTGACATTGACATTATTATATTGTCCCAAGAGCCAGGTTACTGAAAGTTTGTCTTAAATTGCTAAAGAGTATTGGGAAGACATATTTTTATCCAGCATGTTAACTATGCTACAAGAAAAAACCTACAGTAAAAGACGTCTTCCAGGTTATCCGTCTTAAAGAACATTCATTTTCCAATTCTCTATGCAAAGCTTTGGTAGTTTTAAACAAAATAAATAAATTAAGTGCTATGCGTTGTCATCATTTTATTTTTCCATACAATGACAAAATAAATATCTTGATTTGGCCCTTTGGGGGGAAAAAACCCAGATGCTCCAAGGTATAGTATAGAGTAACATTTAGTCTTAGATGCACATATATGTACACTTGTTAGCAGGTGAAGTTGTTTTGCAACCAGAATCCAGTAAATTATCTACATGGTTGTTTGTCCAGTGTTTACATTTAAGCTTTACGTCTACTCCAACACCAAATTGCACTTCTGGAATGGGAGCGACGTGCTGAAAGAGAAACTCAAGTATCAACCCCGTCACGCCAGTTGATTCTCAGTAACCCAGGACATGGCAAACTACAAGAACAAAGATGACGCAACTGGACTTCTTCTGTTTGGTTGTTATTTTATATGGCATCTTGATTTGGCTGTGTTTATTACTTCTTTTGGTTTTAATAGCTTTTTCTTGAATTATTGTTGTCTGTACTTTGAATGCTGTCTGTCTAAAACAGGTCTTGTAAATGAGTCCTCATGACTCAACGAGACTAACCTGTAGAAATAAAGGCTGAACGAATAGTAACAACCATTCACTCTCTCATACACCTAGGGACAATTTAAAGTTACTGATAAACCTAACATGCATGTTTTTGTTCTGTGGGTGGAAACTGGAGTACCTGGAGGAAAGCTGCACGTGCACAAGAACATGCAAATATACTGTAACTAATGTCAGTGTTGATTTTCCTACATATTAAAACAATTTGAGTAAAAATAAATAAATAAAAAACACTAAACACATACAGATGAATAAAATAACATATTTTCTACTTTTAAACTGGATATACAATAGTCCCTCCCTCATTTATCGCGGGGGATCCGTACCCTAAAGTCCCACGATAAAAACCGCAAAGTAGGAACAGTAGTACAAGTAGTAAGTTGTAGTTTTTTTAGTGTATGTACATATATATATATATATATATATATATATATATAT